CCCCGATTCAGTGGCAGCTCCTCCCTATCTTATTCAGTTGATCTCAGAAAATATCTCCCAGAAAAAGTGACCATCGGCTTCTCAGCTGCCACTGGTCAATTGGTAGAGGCTCATCAGATACTTTACTGGGAATTCCGTTCTACTGATTTGCAGCTGAAGAGTAAGAAGATGAAAAGTGTATTAGTCATAAGCTTGGCTACTAGTATAAGTGGCATAGTCTGTTTTATGGGTTTGGTTTGGTGCTTCATGAGTTTTAAAAAGACTAGGAGGACAAGAAAGGAGGAAGAAGAGAAGCTAGAATATGATGAGTCCATTGACGGTGAGTTTGAGAAAGGGAGGGGTCCAAGAAGATTTCAATACAATGAACTTGTGGCTGCTACAAATAATTTTGCTTTGGAGAGAAAACTCGGAGAAGGAGGCTTTGGAGCAGTTTACAAGGGTTTCTTGAAGAATCAAAACCTCAACATCGCCATAAAACGAGTTGCCAAAGGATCAACACAGGGGAAGAAGGAGTACATCTCTGAGGTCAAGATCATCAGTCGGCTGAGGCACAGGAACCTTGTACAACTTGTGGGCTGGTGTCATGAGCATGGGGAGTTCTTGCTCGTGTTTGAGTTCATGCCAAACAGGAGCTTGGACGCACACCTATATGACAATTTGTGTTGCATCTGCCCTCCTGTACCTCCACGAGGAGTGGGAGCAATGTGTTGTGCACCGTGATGTCAAGCCAAGCAACGTGATGCTTGATTCTTCATTCAATGCTAAGCTTGGGGACTTCGGGCTGGCACGTCTTGTAGACCATGATCGAGGCTCACAGACTACAGTGATAGCTGGCACAATGGGTTACTTGGCTCCAGAGTGCGTCACCACTGGCAAAGCAAGCAAAGAATCTGATGTATACAGCTTTGGTGTTCTTGCATTGGAGGTTGCCTGTGGAAGGAGGCCTATTGTGCTAAAGGAAGATGATGACAAGATCAATCTGGTTCAATGGGTGTGGGATCTCTATGGAAGAAATGAGATCCTTAATGCAGTTGATGGGAGGCTTGATGGTGCATTGGATGAGCGTGAAGTCATGTGCTTGATGATTGTGGGGCTCTGGTGTGCACACCCAGACTACAATTTCCGACCTTCGATCCGCCAGGTCATAAGTGTATTGAAGTTTGAGGCACCATTGCCAAGCCTTCCACCAAAGATGCCTGTGGCAATGTATTTTGCACCACCAATCCATCTTTGCAGGTTTTCCTACACCACGTCTGATGGAACACAGAAGGAGCTGGAGGGGGTCCAACGTTTATGCGAAGACAACAAGCTCGTCCAGTGCAACCAACGCTTCTAGTTCACCTCCCTCTGTTCACTTACCTCAGATGGCTTAAGCCCTGTTTAGATCCCACCCAAAATCCAAAATTTTTCAAGATTCCCCATCACATCAAATCTTGCGGCACATGCATGGAGCATTAAATATAAGTAAAAAGAATAACTAATTGCACAGTTTGCCCGTAATTGGCGAGACGAATCTTTTAAGCCTAAATAGTCCATAATTGAACAATTTTTGCCAAATACAAACGAAAGTGCTACAGTAGCCAAAAGCAAAAAAATTTCGCATCTAAACGGGGCCTTACTAGGTCTGTCAACTTCCCTTTTATTATATGCTAAATATGTTTAATTGTGTTTTGTGCCGATGGTATTTGAGAGGCACCTAAAGTAACAGCCGGCGCGTTCGCTGGTCTGGTAAACCAGACCAGCCGGCTGCTTCTCTTCAGCGGACACTGTTTATCAACCAGCTGCTATAGTGTTTCTCTCCAACAACAATCAGCCAGTTTCAGCTAAGTTTCAGACCAGTTTCAGACCAGCGAACGGGGCCAAAATACTTGTATTGACTTTATCAGGATGTTTACAACTTGTGTATAGGCTGTCAAGGACATAAGTATTATGCACTGAAATGCTCTTGGCAATGATTATTTTTATGTAAATGCAGTAATCTGGGTGAAGCTATGACATTCATCTACCAACTAGACTTCTGTGCTGGCCGTTCTTATATTGTTTATATCAATTAGAAGATCAAGTTTTCATTTCTTTTCTCTCTTTTCCTTTTTCCTTTGCTTTGGATATGGTCAAGCTCTACTATTGTCCTATATCAGGTGAAGGCCAGCTCTGGCATGCCAATTACCAACTTATCATTAGTTTTTAAGATGTACCTTTCCAAAGTTTCCCTGCGTGCGATGTTTGACAACTTCCCTCTTTAGAAAGGACACAGCGTAACTTAAGGTGTAAGGCATCAGAGACATTGAGTAATAAGATCCAGGGTTTCCCTGTAACTCATGAAGGGAACCTTTCATACGAGAGGATATATCGCATAACGGCTTAGAAGTGGTGTTGGAAAGTCTGAAACTAGCAGTTAATCTATGTTACTTCAGTTAATGATGAAGCAAATATTTGTTTTGTATCGCACAAGGACCTAGAAGCAGTTTGGCGGTACAAAACTTGAAATTACACCATCCAAACAATAATGTGGGTATAATACCACTCGCTTGAACTACTTCAACAGTACTTTTCAGCGAACGAACAGTGTTTTCCTCTCACAACAAATTAACATAAGCATCAGCATAAGCCAAATTTCAGCGAAGCGAACCATTAAAAAGTCATTGTTAACAACGGTCACAAGTTTTCAGGCATGATGAGGCACATAGTGATTGATCTCTTCACTGGAGGTCAGTCGTCACTTGAAAGTTGAAACACACTAGCATTACCAGCAATTTCATCATGTCCGAACTACAAGATAAGCACCCTTGCAAAGCACATGCACCAACTACCTCGTAGTTCAATCATATTTTTTTATTACACAAGAACTTTTTAGAAAAAAAAAATGTAGCTTACATAATCCTTCAACAACAAAAAAGCCTTTTTGCCCACAAGTTTGGGTTGGTTAGAGTTGAAACTCAACATGAGCTAACACCAAAAGCGGAAAGAATAAGATTCCTCAAAACTCATGGAATTCGAAAATGTAATATGACACTTACATTGAACTCAAAACCCACCGATACAATCTAAAATCAGTATGCGTCCAACTGCAAACTCAACCCAGTTTTGGTCCAGAGACCAGAGTTGCACAATGTTACATTGCAAACTCAACCCAGTTTTGGTCCAGAGTTGCACAATGTTACATTGTTCACAGGAACTATTTTCTGTTTCAAACATTAGAATCTAGCACGCAACAAACTATTTTCCAGTTTTGGTCCAGACAGCAGCAGTAGCAGCAGCGGTGCAACATGAACACAGGCATAGGCAAGCAAGCATTCTTTACCTTAAGGTACTTTCTTCACTTCTTCCCGTGCTGCTTCTTGGCGGTGAACCGGTAAACCACCGGCCCGTGGCGCCAGCCTTCGAGCGGTGGGTCCTCGTGAACCACCTCAACGTCGAACACCTTCCTCGCCTTGCCGAAGAACTTCTTGTCCGTGCGCTTCCACCGCCTCATGTGCGCCATGACGAACACCACCTCCCCCTTGACGAAGAACCGCAGCGTCTCTATCAAGGGGTCAACCAACGCCTCGTAGTACACCACGTCCGACGCCACAACGAGGTCGAACGGGGGCGACGCCGCCTGCGCCGCGGCCACGTCCGCCATCGCGGCGGCGTCGCCCCAGCGGAGCAGAACGACGGAGGCGGCGCCGCTTGCGGAGGCGAGGAGGGGCGCGTTGAGCTCGGCGTTGTGGCGGAGGTTGGGGAGCACGTCGGGGAGGTCGGAGAGGACGGCGCGCGCCGGGAGCGCCGCGGCCAGGGCGAGCCCCGCGGCGCCGGTGCCGGAGCCGAGCTCGAGGACGCTGAGCGGGCTCCCCGGGGCGGGCGGGAGCGGGAGCAGGCGCGGGGTGGCGGGGAGAACTCGCAGGAGGGTGGAGGCCGAGGGCCAGAGCTGGAACGAGAGGCCCCGCGAGGGGAGCGCGCGGACGGTGATGGGGGCCGGGAGGGAGGGGATTTGGAAGTGGTGGAGCTCCGCGCGCGATGGGGAGGAGGGTGCGGCGGTGGAGGGGAGGTTCGGGAGGAGGAGGTCGTCGGAGTCCGAGTCCGAGGAGACGTTGGAGGGGAGTGCGTTGGCGGCGGTTGCGGCGGCCATAGGACAAGGAGATCTCGGGTTTACTAGGTCAACGCCTGCTGGAGAGTGAGTGGGGACACTGGATTCCGTTGCGTATCGTAGTCCGCGGATTAGGATACGTTCGGCTTGCTATTTTGACGCAGACAGGCTACTTTTTTGGAAGGCCTTTTGCACCTGGATTTCCTCTCTCGGCAGATGAACGAGGAGGCTACGGGAGAACGGATCCCATAATCACGAGAAAACCGCAAACGTTTATTTACCATGAAACTGGTCGTATATATAGAGAGGAGTCCTTGAAATAGGTCCTTCTTGGGGGATAAGTATGGTATATCAATCACACGTGTGTATGCAGACTATGGGGAGGATTCCTCATCTTCCATATTTTTTTCTAAGAAAATTGCTATTTACCATCAATCGACATATTTTTATGTCATATATACACCTATCTTCTACAACTAAAAAGAATAAAAGTAAGACAATTTTTTAGTGCGACTTTTTTTTAGTCGCTCCTCCCTTCCGGCCGTGCGATACCCCGTGCGATAGAAAAAGAAATTGTCATCCATGCGATCCCCGCCCGCTTTAAAGGAAACAAATCAATCACCTGAGGCCACATGCATGGATGGAAACAATAATCATACATGGAAGGAAGCAATCATACGGTGCCCCTCTCTCGCTCGGTCAGATATCTTTCATCTCCACGTAAAGCGGATCGCCGATCGACGCCAGGCCAACATCGACGCGCCCCTCCTGTCCTTCCCGTGGTGCGCTCTCGCGAATCCACGCCACCCCGCAGAAGACGCCAGACACCACAACGCTCCGCCACCGCCGCACGCCAGGCACTCGTCGGCCAAACGCCACGACGCCAATCCGGACCTCAGACGCCGCCGGAACGCACCCTCCTCGTCCGACAGCCATGGCGTCGACGCCGACCTCCGTCGGACGACTGCGAAGAGGCCATCGACGATGCCGCGCTAACAGAAGGCGACTACAACTGCTTTATCAGGTGCGGTTTATGATTTCATCTTATTCTGGATGATAACTTTTTTCCTTCAATTTCCTTACTCAGCCAATGATTTCATGATAATCATGAGAAACACTACTATAAGATGATCGCTGCATATTTGAGATTATGCAAATTTTATTTAATCATGTTCCTGTGTGAACGAGATGCTATTGGAACCTGCTCATATGACTGTATCCTACCTCTCCCTATCCTCACAGTTGCTATTAAGATCTCCTCCGGCGCCGTCCTCCTCTGCGATGCCCTCTCCACCGGGGCGAGGTCCATAGGATCCAGCGGCAACAAGGTTGAGGGAGTCACGTGGTAGGGAGATCCATCAGCAAGCATCCTGGTTCTGGTATATTATTTGATTTATTTCTCGATACACTGCTACGAGGGACTGTACTAAGCCGTGCGTTATTGCAGATGGCTCCTAGTGTATTCTTGTTCGATCCTGCTGGACAAGAAGGCCTGAGTGGCGACAACTCAGGCGACGGAATTGGTCTGCCATCGTGGAAGTTTAGGATCGACGCCGACTTGCTTGACGTAAGTGTAGCCGCCATTGCCCTTTTGTTTCAATTCTCAGACTAATGGTTGTTTGTTAGAGTTCAGCAAATTCAGTTCAGTTGTGCAATAAATTTAGTTTTTCACTATCATCAGTCATCAGATATTCATAATTCGAATCTGAATATAAATAGTATTAGGAGTCTATATACTTGAAACAATGTGCAATACATTTTCGTTCAGCATTGATACTCGTCAATCAAGGACTCCACAGCTGGTGGCGGTTGCGGAATAAGTGGTGGCACCAGCTTAGGTGCTCCCCGCGGATGCTAGGGTGAGCTGGATGGGCTGGAGAATCTATATGTCAAGATGTCCATACGCAGGGTCTCCGACAGCCAACTGTTTTTTACTATTATTGAATTGCATAAACTGTTTTTTTCCAAGAAAATGAAGTTAAGACAATTAGTTGATTGGGATTATGATTTACTCTTTTTTCAAATAGTGGTCTTCATTTCGGAGCCCTTCATACAGTTTAATAATGGTTGGGGAGCTAGGCTTGCGAGAACTTACTCTTAATTGGGTTGCGAGCTAGGGATGTAGCACTTCAATGGGTGTCTTGGTTGAGTTCTACAATTGATGGTGTTGATAAGATTGACAATCCTGTAACTCTGCAGTACCTTTCTTTTTTTCAAAAAAAAGAGGGAAAATGCTACTTATGGTCGAATCCATGTTCTTTTTGTTGTTTTGATTTGATGCCCACATCCCACATGTTAACTTTTAGATGTGTTTGTAAAGAATTAAAAGGAGTTGGCCTAATATCAATCTTTCTTGTCGTCTTTTTCATTCTTTATATTTATATAAATTCTCACCAATAAGTACATGGCTAGGTAATGGTCGTAATGCTGCATCCAGTGTGTCCCTTGAGATCTACTGACTGTTAGCTTATGCATATTGTCTTTTATTTACAGGGTAGAGAGCTGTACAGGAAACATTCAACGGTTTATTTCCAAGCTATATCAGAGACTTTAATTCATGTCTTTTATTTGCATCGAAGAAAACTCAACCGAGGATGAGATTGTTGGCCTGACAGAAATGTTCAAAACACGATATGAATTTTTAAAATACTATTGTTCTTGAAAGAATCTTACATCTTATACATTCTTTTCCTTGCCTGGAGGTATATATTATTCAGATTTACTTTGCTACTTGATCTATGCAGTTCTTTTTCCTCTTAGAAAAGAAATCATTGAACTTTATACTTGAGACACAATTGATCAGGCCTCATCAATGAAAGCCTTTCAACCAATAATAATTGATCCAGTAGAGTCACCTAAACCTTTAGTTACGCATACTGCAGTTTAAATTTCTAACACGAGAGAGAGGGAGGGAGGAGGGAACATAGTGCTATGCAAAGTGAAGTATAGCAAAACTGAATCATCAGCTTCACACAAGAAAATTAGAGCATGTTGATGAAACTTAAGCAACATTTGTGGCACTAAGAGTGGACACATCTAGATATCAGTTGCAATCTGCATTTTCTATCATATTTGCAGTTTTATGAAGGGTAGACCTTCAGAACTTTTCACAGCTAATAAGCAAGGTTGGAGCTGGAACAGTAGTGATAGTTGAAAAGTTTGGAACATCATAGGTCCTAATAGTCATAGATGATTAGACTAAATATGCTTGTTTGAGGAAAAAAACAGAATCTCTAAGTTGTAGATTTTTTGCCTATTGGTGTAGTCTGTAGATTGTCTTTCCAAGCGACATGGGAAGAGATCTTCATTGATATGCACCAATCCAAGAGAGATTTTTATGGAGTAATTCAACAGAATTCAACACAAGATTTTGCAATTTGTTAGTTTCAATAGAATAATTGTTTTTTTGTGTGTGTAAATGTTGCAGCTCCTTTCAGATTATGATGCAGTGGCTTCTGGTGCACCTTAGATTGTTGAAGAATTTGTGTGGGAGAAAGCTGAAGCAACTGCAGTTAAGCCAAAGATATGTCTCAATAGCATGTAGAATGCCAAATTTACTTTTCTTGCACAATTATCGTCGACGTGCCAGGTTACCAGTTGTGCTATAGGTCACTACCACTACCGGAAACAATCGCTTTTCCGTGTGCCACAATCACTCGACAAAGTCCAAAAAACACTCAGCAAAGAGTTTGCCGAGTGTAACACTCAATAAACAGCACACGGCATCTAAAGTGGCAGCAAACGGCTCTTTGCCGAGTGTTTTCTATCGGGCACTCGGCAAAGACTTTGCCGAGAGCTGAAACCGACACTCGGCAAAAAAAAGTAACGTGACGGAGTGAAAACAGTCACGGCGCGTTTACCGAGTGTCAAATCTCAGACACTCGACAAACCTTCTGTATTATGATCCTCGGATACCAAGGTAATGAATTTTAATTGTGGATCGAATGTTGTTAACTAGATTTTGTATATGCTCGGTAAAAGAATTGTTGGGGCAGTACAAAAGGCACAATCCAAATTATTACATGGATTAACTAAACTTTAGTTAAATTTTTAGCAGATGCAGAGATAGTAAAATAAGAGTTTCTGTCTAATATTTTGGGGCTCTCTGCTGTCACTTAGAAAAAAAAATTATGTTGTCTCATAGGACAAAAATATATTCTATGATAAAAAAAACTATGCATGTGCATGTTCAATACTTAGGTGTACTACATGATGGAGTTAACATGTCGGTTACAACAGTTCATATGGTATTGTCAATAATTTAGAGGATATTAAATTTAGGCTAGGTGCATAGTAGGCCACCTAGCTTTATTCTTGCAACTTCTACCTCTTTATGTGTTAGTCTTTGTCAATGGTATAATTTGTTCGCAAAGCTCAAGCAAGACAATTGGCAAAGATTAAGCAAGACGACTCAATGAGGTTGGCCCTTAATTTTAGTGTTTCCAGCATGCAGACCTGAAATTAAAAAGTGGCTGCTCCTTGAAAACATTAGTGGTGCCAAATAAAAGATGTGCGGGTTATACATGGTGAGACTGGTGAACCTTCTGCAATTTCCTAAACGAATATTCTCATCATTAGTATATATGTCCATTCCCCTACGTTTCTTCGTGCTCCCATTAGCATATAATATGAAAGTATTGTTGTGTTTATTATGACTTCCAGTTGACTACTCTCATTAGCATATACTTCCTCTGCCCTAAAATATAAGTCGTTATGGGATACGTGCAGGTCAAACTTTCTCAACTTTGACTAGGTTTGTAAAAAATACGTGCAATATTTATATCTTCAAATAAGTTTATTATGAAAATATATTCAATGGTCTATGTACTGATACTAATTATGTATTATAAATATTAATATTCTTTTATATATAATTGGTCGAAGTTAAAAAAATTGACTTCTCAGGAAGCGAGAATGAATTCTATTTTAGGACAGAGGGAGTATATGAAAACAGTGTTGAAAATATTTTAACAATCAAGTTCGTCTCTGTCTGATTGGTAAGCTTAGACATCATAATGGCATCAAAAAATTCGACTCTCATGGACACCCTCATGGATCAGTGCAAAGCATCTCAATCCTACAGCATACACAAATGGCAACCTTAAAGTTATGATATTTTCAAAGGATGGACAATAAAGACCAGCTTAGACGTTCTGGCATTAGAGTATATACGTGCAGACACATAGGTATGGTGGTGCAAGTGAGCAGCCAGTAGGAGTCGAGAGTTAGGGGGTGTTTGAATCCCAGGACTAAACTTTAGTTCCTATCACATTAAATTTTTAAATATCAATTAGGACTAAACATGAGCTAATTATAAAACTAATTATATAAGTTGTGGCTAATTCGCTTGCCAACGCCGTGTACAGGATGGTATGAAGATTTGGTGGAACTTATTCGTGGATTTGTTGGCGCATGAAAGAAATAGATATCGGAAATCTCTTCCTGCCGGTATAAAAAATGATCTTAGCCGCATCACGGAAAGATCTACACAGTAAAGTTTGTGAGCCTGCAACGCCACGCTCTCTGTGACTGTGTAAATTTTACGAACTTAGTTTTTTAGATTAAATGTCACTTTAACGTTGGTCATATACTTTTACAATATTATTATCTTATAGTGCGATCCGTGTGTTTTTAGTACAAAAGTTTAGTTGTCCCGTAGCAACACACGAGCACGAAACTATTTACATATATACTCAAACCTGTATGTACATGATTATATGGAGATGCAACAAAACTTATTCATGGATTTATTAGCGCATGAAAGAAATGTATATCGTAGAATTCTTTCTACCGATATAAAATATTATCTTAGCCGTATCACGAAAAAGTCTATACAGTAGAGTTTGTGAGTTTACGACGTCGCACTCTCCATGACTGTGTTAATTTCACAAACTTTGCTTTTTGAATTAAATATCACTTTGACGTTGGTATTTAATTTAACAGTATTGTTATCTTATCGTGCGTTTTGTGTGTTTTTAGTACAAAAAATTTAGTTGTCCCGTAGCAACGCATGGGCACGCTACCTAGTCTATTAGATTTATGAACCGCTAAATCTAAGAGCAACTCGAACAACTTAGCTATTTTTTGTTTTAGAGGCTATTTTGGAATTTGTATAGCAAAAATACGCTCCAAGAGATGTGCTATCTGGTTTTATAAAATAGGAAGGTGGCTATCCCTCGATTTTAGGTGGACATATAAAGCAACCATGGGCGCTTGCTATCTGAAGATGAGAAATAGCAAGACTGTTGCAGACCTCTTCTTTTTTGAGAAATTTTCTATTTTACAAATTGGCTAAACTATGAAATTTTGCTACTAATTTTAGCCAAACTGTTGGAGTTGCTATCAACATCTTGGTCTCTTGGATGTCCTTTCAACCTCATCTCTTCCCATCCTCGACTTGCAGCCTACGCGCGACTCACCCATTGGGACGCAGGTGGCCTAGGCTAGGAGAGATCGTTGGTGGGCGGTGGTGCCAACGGCGGCACGAAGGGTGTTAAATCATTTCTAGATGATGCCTTCGGTGAGGAAAGATTTCAAGGATGCTGAAGGGCAGTGGCTCCAATGATGTTGGTGCCACCAGCATGGAGGATGGGGGTGAAGGGGGGGGGCAAAGGAGAACGCTTGTGCATGACTACCTACGTGATGGCTGCATCGAGTAAGAAGACGATGGGTGAGCGAGGGGATGAAGGAGGTGGGGTGGTTGTGGTAGAAAGGAATGGGGGTGGTAGTAGGGTCATTGAAGATGGGCGAGGAGATAAAGTCAGGAGAAGAAGCAGAGAGGACACGATGTTGGTCACAGATTGTTTCTCGAAGAGAAAGACGAAAAGATAAAATTGGAAGAATGAGATCCAAGACATTGATGTCAGATCTAATAGTTGATAAATCTAATAGATATATAGCATATAAATGTACTAGTCAAGGGTGCGCGCCATCGCGCGCATATGCTGTTACAGCGAAAATTTTTAACATGGAGGAAGTGCGGTGAATAAAAGGTACATAGATATATATATATGTAGGATGTATATATTATATACATTGTTGAAGCGTTGCAAGTTAACTGCAGTGACCGATAAGGAAGCATACAATAGGATTTCTTTATGGGTTGCAAGTACATAGACAGGGTAATATACAAAGATCAGGTTTTCTTTTTGGGTGGTATTCTAAAACCATTCCAAGGCCCTATAAGACCGGCATAGCAAGCATAGGACGAGGATCTTCGAGGTGGGAAGTAGGATCCTCGGCACAACACAAAATGGCGAGGCAGATATGTTGCCGATCAGTGTTACCTGTTGTAGCAAGCAGCAAACCACGAGGTTAGGAAACTCAGTGAAAAATGGAGTGGAAAGGATAAAAAGTCGGTACCATTCTTCACACATCAGCATGACCATAGATGTGGTGAGTTTCATTGAATGAAACTGAAAGCTTTAGGAAATCACTGTAAACACAGATACGAAGGAGTAATTCAAGCATACCTTACAATTCAACCACTAATGAGAATAGATGCAAACCACATCCGTGCACATTCCCTTGGTCCAACTGGTTGTTGATTCCCATTGCAAATCGAATAGTTGTGTAGATCATCAGACCTTTAGATAGTT